GGCGGCGTCTCGCCGGCGTTCGTACGTTGGTGACTTTGCGTTTGATGTGCTCCAGCAAGCTCTCTTGGCCTCTGACGAAGAAGGGGTGTTGGAACTCCGTGTCGTCTCTCTCGGGCTTCAGCAAGCCGCCTTGCTCCATGTGGACCACCTTGCGGAAGCCGTCTGGGGGCGGGGGGAGAAAAGCCAGCGGCCTGCGGTTGGGCCAAGGCTCGGAGAGCAAAGCTGAGCGAGCCGTTCGGCACGAGCTTGTACTCACACATGTTGAGCTGTCGAATGAAGCTGGCCATGTTGTTGTGCTTGAAGAACTTGGGCAGGACCTCTTTGGAGAAGCGACCCTGATCGTACACGTGGAAGCTGGTTCCGCTCTGGCACGGGACAAACCAGACAAGAAGTCGTCGACAACGTTGGGACGGCCCAGCGAGTTCATTCGCCTTTGGAAGGACGCCGCCAGCTGCAAATCACTCGACTCACTCGACGCTCGGACGTCGACTTCTGCAAACCCGTACGCCGAATCGCCCGCTCCGACGGCAAATTGGACTCGGCAACGTGAATACAAGAGGGGGAACGGGGCCGATCGAGCTGGAGAAAAGTCGACTCGTTCGTACAAGTATCCGCATCGCCACCGTCAACGGGGCGGGCCTAGTTGGTTTCTGCGACGGTGCGCGTCGGATCAATTTTACTGGCCGGCCACAATTGTTCTTGCGGTACCTCATCAAGTCGTCTGGCGGCGCTCTTTTCAGAGCCAACAGGAACGTCCCTGGACTCCAGTGAGTTTTCCGCTTCTCATTTTGACTCCCGTGACTGTTACATTTGGATTTTCGGGGACAAGAGTTGGACCGTGTTGGGACACCAGCGGTTGACTAAAAAGTCCACTAGAATTCCCGAAGTAGCGATCGGGCAAATTTGGCACCTCTTTTCAGACTGAGATTCAAGGACCTCCCACAGTCCAGCACATGCAATCCCCCACGACGGCATTTCGCGGCGCACCCATCGCGGCACCACTAAAGTGTAGAACTTTTTTTTGCGTGCGTGTAATCGTCCTTGCAGTTCTCGTATTTCCTTTTTATAATGTCCTGCCTGCCGTTGAATGAAGCTGCAATTGCACCGTCAAGCACTGGATGGCGGCTCACAGTTTTGATTGCCACCAAGAATTTTATTGCCTTTGGTGAACATATTTTGACTTCCACACAAAGAATCATTTATTTCCGTGGTGAATGGTGACTGTATCCTTGAATATTGTCCCTTTTTTTTTTTTTTTTTTTGCCTGCTCGCAACGCATTGCGGTCGACTTTGACCTCTTAAGACGGGGTAGGGGACCGAGGTTCCTCGAGAGCCACATCCTGGCCGTTTAAGATCCCCCCCTACTCCAACGCACCCGATTCAAATGATCAGCTCATCAGCAAGCTCCGTAGAGGCCTGAAAGGAACGCGAGCAATTGAATCGGGTGTTTTGGAGTCGGGAGGGACCGAAAACAGGCCGGATCTGGCTCCGGAGGAACCGGAGTTCGCTACCCTGTCTTGAGGAAACAATCCGCGCAAACGACTTTTCCCGGTGCATTTTGGGCAACTTCGAGTGCCCCGCAGTGGTCCGGCAGGACATTCGGACGTGCCCCCAAAATGGCCCGCGGCCTTCATGAATTGTGTCGTGGCCGCACGTCGGGACACGGCCTCGGCGTGACGAAGGAAGAAGAAAGCGGTCGGCCGGCGTTTTGAACAGTCTGAATTGGAAGCGCTGAATGCCCGCCGCGGCCCTTTTCACGCCTCCGACCAAAGTTTGCGAGGACACACGCCGGATTGACCCTCCTCGGGCGCTCGGCGGCTGACTTGGTGCTCGCCACCGATCAAGACGTCGAGATGCCCGTTCACGTTTTACGCTCTCGGTCAGTCGTCGCCATTTCTCCGAGTTTGGCTTGCCGTTCAACAGAAAAAACAGAACGAGGGCTCCGGACAATAGTATGCTCTCGCCATTTCTCACATTATCGGATGCGATGTTACCTTTTTCGGGTGTTGTCAGCGACGCACCGCGACGAGGGCCGAGAGACGAGGGCCGAGGGCTTCTCTCTTCTTCCGGGTTCACCACCCGCCACTCGGGGCACGTCAAAAAAATGACCGTCACCGAGCTGTCCGTGGCTGTGCCTGCAACGTTGGCTTCGCGCGTGTTTGAAAGGGTGTCAAAACTAAAAGTAAATGACCGCCAGTACATTTTCAAAAGGGTGTATTTCAACAGGCTCGGGATCTTTCGTTTACTGTGGCGGTCTGTAACGTCAGAGCCACAAAAGAGGGGGAATGACGGCCTCGGATTCCGCCTTGGCGTGCTGATGTCATAAGGTTACGTCACGTGACTTTGCGTCGGCGTGCTTGCAGGTGGCGGACGGGCGTCCGAAGAACCCCGCGCGGCCGGTGAGTCTCAGCACGTTCGCTTCAGCCGAGAGACGCTTCGGCGCGGCCGTCCGCGCAGTATGACGTCACGACGCCGACGATAACGGTGGTTTGCGCGCCGCCGGCGCGGCTCGTTCTCCGCAGGCGCCGTCACCGGACGGCACGACGCTCGGAGTCAGGGTCCTGAAGGTGAGGCTATCTTCGGCCCGGCCGCGGTTGACGTCGCCGCGACGTCCGCACTCCATCCCCTGAGTTCCGCGGCGCCGCCGCCGCCGCCGCGTTTGTTTCCGCAGCTGCAAACGACGTCGAACTGGAGGAAATCTGCTGACTCGCGCGCCACGAGCCTCAAGTTGGCTTTTCCCACCGCCGCTTCCGGTGCGCCGACCAATCAGAAGGCTACTTCGGTCGCCCGGAGGCCCTGCCCGCTCACAGGCAGGGTCCTTTGTTTGGGAAGATTTAAAAAAGATGGGTAGAATCACTTTTAGAAGCAGGTGAACTGGACATTAAAATGTCTTTGAACAACTTTGCAAGAAACGCTTTTGTGTCTCCTGATCATCGGTTCACTCGCGGACGCCGCCGCTCCGACCGGTTTCCCCGATATTCCAGG